TGGGTTTTTTTGTTGGGGTTTTTTTTTTTTTTTTTTTTTTCCCCATAAGAGAAGTCCATACTTCTGTAAAGTCCGGGCAAATACATTTTTTCCTTTGCATTGGATGTCTTGTAAGCTCCATGAGCATGGCCCTCCTATTCCTTCTATACTGAACTGTATTGTAGTTGTACTGTGACCCTTTATGTTGTAAAGTGCTGCACAAAGTGTTAGCGCTATATATATCCTATATAATAATAATGCAGTGTGCACTGCTACAGGTTTAGCAGGTTTCTATGTTTTCATAGCCTAATCTATTTTGCTATGTTAGTGTGTGTCCCACAGCATAAAGAGCTGCACATATTTTTATTTAGATGGACTTCAGGCATTTAGTAGTACAAAATATACAAGGTCAGTGGGCTTGGTCCTTGATCACTTGCACGCTGTTTTTAGGCCTCATACTCAAAATATGTTGCCAGAGAAAAATGCCTTCAGTCTTGTTTATTTATGCACGTTTACGAGCATATGGCATGTATGAGCGTAAACTCATTCTATTATCTGGTATGTTCATTTATTCTAATCACTAGAATAATTTTATGCGCACGTTTTTAGGTGTGTTCATGTAAAATATTCCTATAGGAGCCTCTCCAAATGCAGCTTTGGGGCATTTTTTTATGCCCCTGAATGCTGTGCACAAATAAGCTCATCAACGCCTGCATGTGCATGGTCACATAAACCATTTCCCACCTGGCCCATTTTAAAAATGACAACCAGGTGGACATGGAACGCGGCCGCGCTATGGCATGATCTGTCCACCAGTCACAGCCGATGACAGATCACTGTACCGGGCCACTGCCAGTACCATGTGATCGCTGTGACCAATCACAGCAGAACACATGGCAATTGTAAACCATGAATGGCTTTGATTCATGCCATTTATTGTGTACAGTTGTGTTGCTAACTGTGATTGGTCACAGTGATCACATGGTACAGACAGGGCATATCACAGCCCATCTGTACCATGCAATTAGCTGTGGCCATTCACAGCTAATCACAATACACACTGAATCAATTTAATTCGGTAAAATTCACGGGTATACGCAATCCTAATGTGTAAAAAAAAAAAAAAATCCTGATCACTTCTCCAGAGTAGTACAATATTACTATGGTAACCTTATATTGTTTTGGCCACAGTGTTTAAAATAAATCGTAAAAGAAAAGAAAAAAAATGTATAATAACACATGGGGAAAAATGTATTTCTTTGTGTTTTTTGTCTTTTTTTTTTTTTCTTTCAACATACTGTCACCAATCAGTGTCCCTGATCACCGCCACACCAGTTATATAATGTACTAGTGACAGCATGTTAAAAAAAAAAAAAAAAAAAGTGAAAAAAACTATTTTTTACAAATGTCTTCATTTTCAAAAAAATTGTGACAAAAAAACTCGCAATGCCACTTACTAAATACATTGGACTGTCTACTTTTCAAAAAGGGGTCATCTTTATATTTTAATTTCTTACTGGACGTGTTAAATAGCAAAAAGTCAATATATTGTTTTTTTGGGGTTTTTTTAATAGCGCAAAAAATAAAACATGCACAGGTGATCAGATACCACCGAAAGAAAGCTCTCTTCGTGGGGGGAAAAAGGACATAAATTTCATTTGGGTGCAATGTTGCATGATCGTGCAATTGTCAGTTAAAATAACGCAGCTCCGTAATGCAAAAAATGGCCTGGTCAGGAAGGGGGATAGATCCTCAGGAGGGCAAGTGGTTAAAAAATAAAGCCAGACGGCTGTAGTGGCAGCATTCTTTCTGCCCGTGTGCAATGCCTGAACCACTTTACGTTCTTCACAGAAGGTACGCTGTTATGCTGTACAGTCTCTGGATGTTAAAACATAAAATCATGTGACTGATCAAAGTGCATAGTTCCTGGATTCCCCAATTTTCAAGGTAAATAATTTCTGGCGGACTTTCTCTTTGGGAAAGTGTTACCTTCTCCTGTCATGAAATCAGTTTGCTCTATGGTGTAGTGCATGTAACCACAGTTATTGGCAGGTTTTCAGCATAGATTTATATGCATGCTTTCACATCATACTTTTGGAATGTGCAGTTCTATATTTAAATTTTCAGTTACTTGAAAGCTCTTTATATGTGTCACTGTGAGAATTCTAGGTGCCTATTTACCATAAAGATATAATAGTAAAGCTAGACTGCAGTTATAATGTGCATATATTTTCAGACACTACATTTTAGTTTTCATTTCAGCAGCTTTTGCTGTGCTTTTTACTGTCTGGAGAGGAAAGCTGCCAGCAGGATGCCAGTATCCGTCTCACAGAAGGCTGTTGATTATAGTGTATTTATGTTAAATGCATAATGACCTCAAACATTTTCTTGGCCGAACTGCATCTAGCGCAGTGGAATGTATATGCCATGTTCGCTCTTCTGTTACCGTTTTGCACATTTCAAAAACATATTCAGGGCTTTGTGATGGCGTTGGGGCTGGTTCACAAAATTGGTAGAACAGAAATCTAATCCCTCTGGCAATGTAGCACAATTCACATGTATTTTAACTGTGTGTTAGCTGGTTGTCAAGAGTTCTGCCTCCACTAGATGGAAAGGAAGGTGGTGACATTACAATGGCGCTGTATGGATTGCAGCAGTGCCAAGCAAGTGACTCCCTGTGGTCAGTGTGCAGAGGGACAGTGCTTGCATGGAACGTGGAAAATCACAACTATCACTGTAATAGCACCTGCTACTACAGTTATTGTAAGCTTCTCCCTTGGCCACTCAGGTATAAAAATATGCATACTTGCATTGTACCATAGTGTACCAATGTAATCGTGCAAGAAAAATGATACCTGGAGTTCAGCTTTACATTTCTAAAATGACTGGCTAGTTCACCCTAACCCTAAAGCAGTATTAAACCCAAAAGCAAGCATTCATTATTTCACACCTATCCAGTTCTTAGATGTGATGGCTATATTTGCCTTTTTAGGCTTTATTTTTTCTATTTTCATCTGGTGATCCAGCCAGTAAGTCTGTTTTTCAGCAGAAAAACAGACTTCTTGGTCGTGTGCTTAAAATCAGCTTTTATTCATTTATGTAAAACCTTTATCCCAAAAGGAAAAAATGTTTGCTGTAGCTGCTTATAAAGTATTAGCTGGAGTTCAGCTTCATTTTGTTAGTGTATTTACATTTGCTGGTATATCTAATGCTTTAAGGTGAAACTTTTTCTTCTGTAAAGTTTAGAATAGAAAAGAAAAGCAGGTGCCAGCACATACCTGCCAATGAGCCGTAACATTTTTTCCTGGGAACTGTGATGTGTCCCAGAACATTGTGGGCAGGGAGGGAGGGGGAGCCAACCTTACTGGGATCCCGCACCTCCTCTTCCCTTTTTTGGGCAATTATATTTGAACTTTTACACACTAATTAGCACTTGCAACCATCAGTTGGTGCACACGGTTTTTTCATACTTTTATACATTCCAGCAGCTTGCCTATGTATAACTTGTTCACAGTGCACACATACCTGTTTATAGACCTTCCAGAAGGGAAACGGGTACTGCTGTGCTTTCTTATTCGAAAATGCAGTATGCTTTGCAGAGTGTGATGTGTGTGTTTAGAAAAAAGTATACACGATTTATAGATTTATTTATACAATTCATAAATATTTAAAAAGTAAAATAACATTGACACACACACATACTATATATATGTAGCTTCACTTTAAGTGGTTGGTCAGGGGTTGGAGTGAAGCAAGTAATCCTGAATGTTTCCTAGTGTATCCCTTTTAGTCTTTTATATGCTGTAGCCGCTAAATACATCCTGTTATCATTCAGTTGGTATGGAAGTCAAATGGATAATTGATATCTCCATTTTTATATGGGGGGGAGGGGGGGGGTCACATGCATCTTTATAGGAATATACCTATATTTTCCAGTTTGTGTGATTTTTATAGTCCAAGATGATTGGCATGGGGAAAATATTTTGTTTTCAGATGGAATATTCCCATCTACTGTTTAAAACACAACCAGTTCTCTTAATAAGTATAGGCTCATTACTAGGCAGACTTCAATCCCACCCCAACCAGACTGCTTAGTATGACACTGTAACAAAGGAAGGCAAGTCCCTGCTATATACAGCAATGAGACATTAGACTGTGCATGCCTAGCTTAACTCCCGTTACAGGCCATGGAATGGCTTGCATGTTAGATGAAAGCCATTTTGGTCCCCTTAATTTCTCTACTGTAATCCACCTACTTGTCTAACCTATTAATTCGGTTCACCTTGTTCAGGAATTTAACAGTTTTTCAGATAGGTAGTTGTTGCATTTAACTTTCCTTTCCCAACATGTATGCCAGTATTTTATGAATTACATATTGTACTTAAAAATTTGACATTGATTTAAAGTGATTGTAAACGCTCACCTTGTAAAACAACCCATTCAGTTTAAAACAGAAATGAAAGGCAAAACCCTTGTGTAAAGATATAAATAAAAATACCCCTTTTCCCTTCTTTATACTGTAAGTGATCACATACCCTCTGTTCTCAGCTGCATAAGTGCTCAGAGAGCTGGGGGATGAGAAACAGCAGCACACTGATCTTCTTAGTGAAAGTCTGTGCGGGGAGATGTCAGCAGAAATCTGACTGTTGGAGGAGAGCAGGCTGAGTTCTCAGCACAGCTAGAGAACTGACCACGATGTGTTCTCCTGCTTAGTGTGGTCAATTTTTTTTTTTTTAATAGGAAAGCAGATGGGCTGGCAGGAACCCCAGGGATTTCACACAAAGGAGCAATACAAAGAGAACCGGATACATTTTTCATACAATTACATGGTACAGCAGGTACATATCAGGAATATGAAATGTTGGGTTTACGTATTCTTTAATTATCATTTGAATAAATATGTGGTTAGAAAATAATGGCTGTTGCATAATCATTTTGTAACTTTTTATACTTAAATATTTTCTTTCCTTTGTAGGCAAATAATGATCAAGCTGACTTGGTTTGGGAACTGAACTAATAAGATGCCCAAAACATTATCCACAAAAGTAACCCCAAGTGAGAATTCTGACAGTGACTGCAACATCATGGTAGAGAAACAAACAGGAAGAAAGGTAGGTGAAACTGCTTTCTGGAGAATAGGATAAACCGATTAAAGGCTCCACCAGATGTTTTCATTTGCTTTTCCCTTAAATAGGTTGTTTTTGCAAAATAAATCCTATTTTTCCATGTCTCAAGCAGCTGGCTCTGGATGTTCCGGATGTCTTCCTGTGCTTGCTGGAATGCATGGAAAACAGCTGGTGGGTTTCTTGAAGAACTTGCTTTCGTCTCTTACACATAGGCCTTTATTGTTCAGATTAATTTCACTGGTCAGGTTTTAATTTCAATGTTAATCCTGTAGTATGCTAGTAAAGCTTCACAAAATAAAAATATATATATGTAAATTCTTGCCATGAATTAATGTGTGTTTTTGTTTTTTAATGTACAAATTTTCGTATGTAACCAGTAATCCTGGTACTTCTACAGATTTTCCAATTTTTTTTTGCCTCATTGAGAGCTAGGGCCCAGAAAATTTATATTATTGTATGGATTATGCCACATACCTATCCTTGAAGCAGAACTTCACCCAGACATGAAAAAGCTCTAGAAAATGTAGTTGGGTATTCATTTAAAAATATAAAATGTATTTTAAAATGCAGTTGGTGAAAGCATCCAAATTTTGTGTTACCTTCTCTAATCCTCAATACAACAAGGCTTGGGTAGAGAGGAGTGTCAGTATTAGAAGTAGTGAAGTGACCTTCTCAATTTGCTGGGTTTTTTTTGTCCAGTCTGGGCTGTGTGTGTTTTTTGTTTTTTGTTTTTTTTTTTGAAGTGCTTTTACCTTAAGTGGAGCTGCACTGCATCTGAGTACCACAAACCAAAAATACTATATAATTCATTTTTAATATTCAAAGCAAACTCCTCCACCCATCCATGTCTCCATGCTTTATTTTGCTGAGAAAACAGATTTGAAAAACACCTCCTGGCTTTTGACAGTGACCATCTTGAGTAAGGGCAGATGATTCATGTAGAAGTTGCTTCCTGGAATCCATTTGTCCTCAGCTCAGGCATTGGCTGAGCTGAGAACCCTCCCTCCCCTCCTGAAGTCTCTTGGGATGTATGACATAATTTGCCTGAAGTTCTGCTTTAAGCTCAATCACAAATTTGGCTGCACACACTTACAATTTTTTGGCAAGTGAAACATTCATCATATACATGTTATATTTTGGCTATATATTGAATTACTTTTCTGGATTTAGGGCTGATACACACACCACATTTTCTATGTTCGCCATAAGACCGTTATAGCTCTTTAGAATTGTTCTAACTAGATATTGAACCATTTTTGTGATATCCGAAATATAATTTCTACACCATTAACCACTTGAGCTCCAGAAGGTTTTACCCCCTTCATGACCAGAACCGTTTTTTTTTTGTTTGGCACTGCGCTACTTTACCTGGCAATTGCACGGTCATGCAACATTATACCCAAATTAAATTTACATGATTTTTTTTTCACAAAAATAGAGCTTTGTGGTGTTTGATCACCACTGGGTTTTTTATTTATTATATAAACAAAGAAAAGACCTGGGGGAAAAAAAAACTATATTTTTTACTTTGTTGTACAAAATGTATTCTGCTACATGTCTTTTGAAAAGAAAAAAAAAAGTTTAAAATAATTGGTCTGTGTGACAGTTATAGCGTCTAAAAAGTATGATTGAGATATATATACTGTATATATAATAGAAAATTGATCAGTCCTGATGTACTGGCAGCCTATCTCATTTCTTGAGGCCCTTAAAATGCCAGTACAGTACACCCCCCCCCCCCCCCCCAAAAAAAAAGAAATAGGGTTTTCAGTAAGTAGACAATCTGTGGTATATAGTAAGAGGCATGGCACGTTTTTTAAGTTGTAATTTTTTGGTTACTTTTATTGGAAAATGAAGAAATTTAAATTTTTGGTTTTTCACAATGTTTTTTTTTCTACATACTGTCACCAGTGCAGGACAACATCGTCATATGACTGGTGTGGTGATGATGAGGGATACTGACTAAAGAAATGTTTTTGTTTTTTTATAACATACTGTAAATATTTTTTTCTTTTTTGTGTTTTTTTTTTAAATATTCTTTACAATTGTTTTGCATCCTGTCATCAGATTAGCTCATTGTCACCATAGTGACACTACTACTCTGGGTAGGTATGATCTGGGATTTTTTTTTCTTTTTTTACATGACTATAGGTTATACAGTACTGATCACTATATAAGCAATATCTTTAGCTGTCATGAATGGGTTTTCCATTCATAAACAGCTTGCTTGTGGGTGTGATCTGTGATTGGCTACAGCTAGCCACATGGTACAGGTAGCTAGGTACCATGTGATGTGTGGGCCAATCACAACAGTAAGCAACCTGTTCATGAATGGAAAGCCATTCATGACAGGTTATTTAATTTATCATGTGATCGCTATGATCAATCATAGTGCTCACATGATACCCGGTGGACACCGGTCACAGGAGAAGAGCAGGCACAGTAACGTGTGTGTGTATATGTGTATATGTATGTGTGTGTATATATATATATATATATATATATATATATATAATATATATATGCCACAGTAAATGTACTGTAGCAGGACTGCAAGTGCTCCTTTTTTTTTTTTTTTAATTAAATAACAAGCCTGTACTTACCTGCTCTGTGTAATGGTTTTGCACAGAGCAGCCCGGATGCCTGATCCTCCTTGGGTCCCCTGCCAGCGCTGTCAGCTCCTCCCCTATAGCAAGCCGCTTATGCACATCGTTGGATCGAGATGTGGCTCAGGTAAGTGTAAGGGGGTGCTCTGGGGGGAGCTGCACATAGAAGTTTTTTTTTTTTACCTTAATGCACAGGATGCATTGAGGTAAAATATCTTCAGGATTTAAAACTACTTTAAATTTTAGGGTGACAGATTTATCATTTATTATGACTGTGGTTTTTTTTTTTTATATAGTAATTTTTTGTTCACATTTTATATACATGTTAAAAGATTATTTCTGCATTACATTTGTACCTTCATACGTGCACTTTCAAGCGAATTATACTGTAATGTGTTAATAAGGTTGTAGCTTTTCCATTGTATTTTATACCTTCAGCCTTTTAACTGCATTTCCTATACTTATGACATACTCAAATGTTAAAGTGTTACTAAACCCAGAACAGTAAAATCGGTGTGTATATGCAGTAAACCATGCTTGTTATACTCACTGTGGAACCTAAGGGGTTAATCCTGCATTGTGTAAAAAGGCTGTTTGATCCTTTTTCTCTGTTCCTCCTCTTGTTCAAAGGACCACCTGATACAAACTGAATCTCTAGTCCCATGCACATGCTCAGGTTGTTGTGTATTGCTAGAGAGTTTTTTTTTCCCTTGGGAGAGTGCATGTGATCAGCACAGGGCCAATCGGCACTGTCCAGACAGATCAGGGGATTTCCATCCTCCTAGAGAAAACTCCTCCTACAAGCTTTAACCAGTGTCCTGCTGAAGTCACAGGACTGCTCTAACTGCTGGTGAGATAAGTACTTAGCAGTTTACATTTACTAAAATAATAGCATTTCCATGTTGTGTCTACTGTGGGAAACCAGATATATAGTGAATGCAGGATCCTGGGTTTTCTAACACTTTAAAATCCAGTTTTATAGATGAAGTCTCTTTATTTTGGTATTCAGAAAAATCATGCCCTGTTGCTTGGTAAAATGTCTGCTTTTTCCCTAGCAGTTAAAGTTCTATAAACTATTTAAAGTTTGAATTGAGCTTCTAGGAAAAATTATGAAACTGAACACAATTGTTTGGATGCTGAATGTCTTAAATGTGTCAGACAATTCTTTAACTTAACTTCTGAAAGTAAAAGGAGAAAAGCAGCCTCCACGTGCAGCAGCTGCTTCACAGGTTTTATGTCGGGGTAACCTTGAAGAGTCACTTTTACTTCTGAGAAGCTAATTTTTCAGAAGTGTGCTTGTGTCAGTGCTCTCTCAGAAGACATCTGTCTTGCTTTGTCTCCTAAAAGCTGTTAGTCATTTCTTCTCTTTCTCTTCATATTCCCCATACGCACTAGACTTTTCTGTTAATGTGTTACATAATGTATTTTATTAGCCAGGCACAGCGCATCTTTCAAAAGGGATGGTGCAAGGAGGCCTGCCATACAGCGTTGGTCCATTTGATCGGTAGACCACTGACTGCTTGATGTACAAAATAACAACTTTGTGCTTACTTAGGAATTGCCAGGATCATTGACAGTTTTTTTGATTCTGTTGGTTATGACTTATTAGAAGTATCTAGTTAACCAACTCCCTCCCGCCATATAGTAAAATGACGGGCGCAAGGCGGTTTTCTCATTCTGGGAGGACGCCACATGACGTCCTCCCATTCTAAAAGCGCCTGCGCGGCTCCGGGAGCGTACAGCTCGGTGATCGGCGGTGCGCTGTGTCCCTCGAACACAGCGGATCACCGATCAACGGAAAGAGCTGAAGATGGCGGCTCGGTCATGTGATCAGCTGTGTCTAATCACAGCTGATCACATGTAAACAGGGAGATGCCGCTTATCTGCATTTCTCGCACGCAGACAGCTCGTGAGGAGAAGAGAGCTGGTAATTGGCATTCCTCAGAGGGGGCATGTACACAGATCATCAGAGCACTGATGATCAGTGTGCTCTGATGATCTGTGTAGCCCCAGCAGCGCCACCTGTCAGTGTCCATCAGTGCCAGCTCTCAGTGCTCATCCATGCCACCTGCTAGTGCCCATCAATGCCACTTCAATGCCACATCAGTGCCCATCTGAGCTGCCTTTCAGTGCCACCCATCAGTGCCAGTCAGTGCCACCTATCAATGCTAGTCAGTGCCACCTAACAGTGCCAGTCAGTGCCGCTTATCAGTGCCATATATGAGTGATGCCTGTCAATGCCTATCAGTGCCACCTATCAGTGTTCATCAGTGCAGCCTATCAGTGCCCATCAGGGCAACCTCATTAGCACACATCAGTGAAGGAGAAAAATCACGTATTTACAAAATTTTATAACAAAAACTAAGAAAAAATATTTCA